AGAAGGGCTATGTTTCTGACGTTGAGTATTCATGTACAAATTGCTAACCTGTCACCTTTTGAACAGACTTTTTTTTAGGTCACTATGAAAAGCAGGCAAGGCTGCCACAAAATGCACACCATTTTATTCCCTTGCAAATTAAAGAGAAATTAATTTCTTCCCTTTTGTCCTTTGACATCAGGCATTCTCTCTCAGCTGGCAGAAACACACCCATGCATATGCCAAAGAAATACAACACTTTGCTATTGTTATAACTGATATACTCCATTTATTAATTTCACAGAGGATGTAGCAAAGCAACAAAAAAATTTCAGACTGAATAAAATATGACCAGTCCCTATAGCTTGAGGAGACTGACTCCTGCCAGCTCTGAGTCTTTAGCTTGCAGTGAAGAAATACTGATGCCAGAAGGTCCAGCTGATTGCAACTACCTAGCACAAAGATTCTACCCTCTTTCATCCCTGTACAACAGTCAGCGCACCAGAAGGCAGAAAACTGGATGTTCCAGGGTGATATATATAGTAAAGAGCAGAAATAGTCTCCCCCAAATTGGTGAGCCTCTTCGATGGTCTTCCACTACCCAGATGGCACACAGCACTTCTCATTCTGAAGGCCCAATAAGTACAGCATAGCTGACAAGAGTGAAATATTCATCTTCACTACCAAAATGTCATCTTTAAATAACAGGAGGAGCGGTTTCTCGCTGATTTGCACTCCTCAGCTAGCACAGAGCAAATATTTGGGCATTCACCTTATGTAAAGGGAATGCCCGCAGGAGAGCAGCAACGCTGCCTCTCCTTTCACTCGTGCTGTGCAAAGGAGGCATTAGAAGAAAAGGAGAGGGAGGGCTGGACTTCCTCCAAACTCTGGTGATTCCTGTGTAACAGAATAGATTATAAACTAACCTGGACTTCAAATTGTAAACTGATGTTGGATAGCAATAAATCACCCCAAAGTCTTCTGTCACAGTCCTCTTTTAGCATTAAGCCATGAAATGTATGGCTAATAGCTTCGATGCTTACCACTGTTATTCATTTCTTATTGTTGAGGATAGAATAACCATTTTTTATTAACAGAAGTAAAAAGGCTACAGTTTAAGACACTGACTGCCTTTTTTCATTATTATATTGGTACCACCTAGTTATCCTCGTCTGCATCGGTTTTCCTTGGTAATGTCATTGATTTAACTGGGCTTACTTCTGATTCGCACCAGCAGAACTAAACAGAAAATCAGACAACCAGTTTGCATGAACAGCTCCCCCCCGCCCCCCACGAATGACCCTCTGAGCAGAGATAAAAGTACTACATATATTGAATAAATGAACATTCAATGCCATCTGCTGGGGTATACAAAACTCTGCAATACCAGGCTCATGCAATATTCAGACCTTAAAAGAACAATAGTGACAAATGTAAAGAGGCTGTTTAGGTAGAGACTGGCTCCTTTCAAAACACAGCTGGAAGGGAGGGTTGTGGGATGCTGCCCATCCTTTACCCACTTCAACACAGGGTGCAACACCCAGGCAAGAAGTGGGTCTGGTTTTAACTCTCTCCTTGGCATAAAAGGGTTTCAGTCTACAATTCGCCCTTCCTCCTAAGCATTAGAGCATGCTATAATTATATATTATAGGTTAGGCTTAATAGAAGGACTTTCATGCTCTGCTTTTGAAATCAGGCTATTATGTAGCCACAGATGCAAGATTGGTGAGGCTACAAGCAGCCTAAGCAAGGATTGCTTCAACAGTCCAGAACAAGAGCATGTACCAGGCAAGGACGTACCATGGCTGTTTTGCATTAAACAGTCACTGGATTAAATGTGTAAATCAGGTTAAGGGCAGAACTTGGGAGTCTCTTCTCAAGTAAACTCACTCTCCTGTTCTCCTGTTCACCAGCTCTTTGGCCCTGTAACTCATGCTCTCCTGGCTATACCATGAGACAACTTCCATGGGCAGACAGCCACTACCTACAATAGTTTATAGCCTGGTAGCTGGAGTGTTCTCGGTTTTGGGAGCTGTGAATTTGGAGCTTCTCGAGCTGAAACCAGGACTCTAATTTCCTGGGCAAGTGCTGTGCAACTACACAACAGACATCAGCACAACTTATGTCCCAGTTCAGTCTTGAAAGCAGGAGATCAGATTTTCTTCTGCCACTAAAGGAACAAGGTATGTTTCTATTCAGAAGAGGAATTTCCAGACCAGGATCCCCAGCTCACCAGGGTGAGCCCTTACAGTTCTGCACCAAGCAGCAAAACTCAGAAGAGAGAGGAGTTCAAGCACATCCTTCTCTGGGTATTTTCTGTGGGAGGGCTTAGACATGCTAGTGGTTGTGAATCCCATTTCCACCCAGCTACTTCCTCATGCACTGTATAGGTCAGCAAACTCATGGGTGGATTTGCTTCATCTCCTTTGCTTTAGTATCTGTAAAATACTGTGCAGTTGGCAGATTTTTGTTTCTTTATATAAGTTATTAGTTATTATATCATTTTCTACAGAATGACACCTGCTGACATTTTTTCTCCATTTCACACAGAAAACAGAAGAACTATTCCTGCTAATGCCTATCATTTTGTAAGTATCATACTGATCCTCCTAAAATTTTACTTTTCTTTCACTTCCTGATGTGTGTTAATATCATCTTGGCTATAATGCTGGTAACAGAAAATGTAATCCTCACTGCTTGTTAATGCAAAATAAAGCACGAGAATTCTGAAGTATATATGAAAACTTTGTTTTAGTAGGAGCTTGATTAGAGAAGTGACTCACTCACTAGTCAATTCCCTATTTATGGTCTGAATCTAAAATGCACCTTTATCATAAAATCATGTGAAAATAACAGAAGTCAAGCTGAACAAGTATGTAAGTCATAAACCTCAAGGTTTAATATGTAACCAATGCAAATGAAAGCTGAAAAGCTAACAGTACACATTTCAATGTCTTCCCATTTGTATCTGAAAGCTGTTTTGAGTTTCAGCTCAGCCGTATAAGAAAAGACTGCAAATACCTTACAAGTCAGAGAAAGATGAAAAGAAAGCAGAGGTCTATTGCTTAATAAGCAAGTTGAACAAGTAAAGGGTGACTAAAGAAGGTTGATGCAATCGATACTTTGGCTGCTTCAGTTTTCATAGAAAGGTTAATTACAATCAGACACTATATGGGATTAATACCAACTAGAAGGCAGTAATAGCACAGAGCGGAACAGCGAAAGAACATCCAGGATAATATTTACTTATGCTAAAGCACTTAAGGAAGTAGTTGAAGTAATTTCTGAGACATTAATTGATTATCTTTGGGAACTTTCCAAGGAGTCCTGAGTTCCTAAAGCAATGGAAAAGAACAGTGGTAACCTCAATTTCTTACAAGAAAGCAAGCAAATTCTGAGGGTTCATTGGATACCTGGAGAGACTATTAAACAAAGTCAGTCTGAAAGCATCTTTTGGAAATAGTAAGTCTGATTATGTAAAAAATTGCTAATGTGAATATGAAGAACATCTCCTCAACTTCTCAGACCAAAGTAATTTCCTTCTCGGCAGAAATACAACCATAATGGGGAGAAAGATGTGATGTATCTTGATTTTTGTTAGGTCTTGGCATTTCCTAGAAGACAGTCTCACAAGTAGAAACCTGGAAACCTGGTCTAGATGAAAATGTGTGAAGTGTTTGCACAATTGACAGAAAAAATATCCACTCTCAGCCTAGTTGATAGTAGTCTGCTACTGAACTGGAAAGAATTATGCAGCACAAGAGCCTGCAAACCCAGTTATCCTGCAGGGGTCTGTCTGGTGTGGTGGTATTTTTTAAGTACTGCTATAAAAAGACAAACCTCACCCTGAAATGTACTGTCAAGAACACTTCTTGGAGGTCTGCTTGATGTTGTAATCAAGGTGTGTACAACCCGGAGAGAGTTCACAGGAGAGTAATTCTGGGGATATGAGGTTCAAAATCTTTCAAGTTGGTTGAGAACTTGGGAAAGCTTTAAAGAATTGTACTTACTTAGGAGACTAAAAGGGAATATAATTATAGGCATTAAACATAATAAAGGGTGAAATAAAGTGGCTAGTAATCAATTTTTTTAGTGTCCTTGGAGGGTAAAACAAATTGGTTTAATTTGTAGCACTCAAGAGAAAAAGCGTGAACTGAAAGGACAGTTAACTAGTGGAAGAAGACACCTCAGGAAGCTATCGATTCCCCATTACTAGTGAGTTCAAGAAGAGATTAAAACAAACATTGGAGAAGATCCAAGTGCATGGGTGCACCTGTACTGTCTCTGGTAGCAAAATATGACTTACAAAGACACTGGGTACCCTCAGCTGAGTTCACTCAGCAGTAATCTCAGCTCTGTGCTGTTGGTGCGTGTCTCCTCCTGAAAGAAGCCAGCAGTTGGGTTCCAGCGTGTAAACAGTCAGTATAAGGGTGGAGCAGGACCCCAGAGAATAAAATCTTGAACAAACCTAGTACAAATGTATAGACACATCCTGAGTCACTCGCAGCACCACATTTCTGTGGACTCCACTTTTCAATACATACTTGCAATCGCATTCACTTGGACTGCACATCTGCTAGCACAAATTCCCCCAAACATTGCATGTTTATATTTTAATGTGTGACATTTGTGATGAGCTAGTTAATATATTCTTGCAAGTAACATATGTAAACAGTCAGTACAATACAAATAACACATGGATAATATTATAATGAAAGGCACAGTTTCAAATGTCTGCAATGATCATAAAATTAAACACTCTCATTATATTTTCAAGAGTGGTGACAGGCCAAATTCAGAGAGAGAACTAAACTGCCTCCTGAATGGATATTTTATGAATCCAAATCAAAAATTTAAATCCCTAAAACCCTTGCTCAGCTACTTTCCAACCCTTCCATTTCCATCAGAAAATTTCCTGTGCACCAAAATGTCTGGTTCTGCTCATCAAATATTTCCAAATCTGAAATTAATCCTGAACTTAAATTTATTTGTATTATCTTCGTATCTCTTCTTCTATCCAGAACAAAGATTTGACAATGAAGGGCAAGAGTGACTTACAATCATCCTCCAAGGTATCTGAGGAGGAAGAAGGTGATTATGAGACTGTAAGTTCTTCCACTCTGGAGGCCATCCATGCTTTGAGAATCCTTCCTGCCAAACCTCTACAAGAATCCGAATATGCAGGTAACTTTTGCTGTCTGCAGAAAGTGAGCCAAACCTAGAAGTAAATAGGAACAGTACAGACTTGGGGTTTTCAGTCCAGATATTTTTTAAAATTAAATGGCTCAACTGCAGAATAAAACACTGGTGGGCAGGAACAAGAGAAGAGCTTTGTCTGCATCTTCATATTCAACAGTTACCCTTATTTCCATTAAATTATGTTAAATAAATAATTACATGCTGCTTTTGTAATTTTAACATTACCTTCATGGGAGAAATTCTATGATCCCATGCCACCTGGAACGTGCAAAAAACTGACTGGTCAAACCCACAACCATTTCAGAAAAGCCCACTGCTATTTAAGCCTAGAAACATTTAAGATGGAAAACATATTAAAGAACACAGGAAACTTTCCTCCAGACGATAATTTGCAGATGAAGAAATGTAGTCTTCTTTTTTAAGGTGTTCTCTGCGACTTCCAATAGCAGTAATAAGCGATTACTTTGAGTGTATTTCTCAGGCATTCTTAACCGTGCAAGATAGCTGCATTAATCAAGCTTTGGTTTACTAAAGCCATTCTAAGTCACATTTAATACCCAAACATACATAGCCAATTAATATCCTGTTTACGGAAGTGAAATGTCATCCCAGCTATCCATTGCTGGAAGCCATTATAAACACTCTGTGGAGGTTTTAAATCATTAAAAATCTGGGGGGGGGGGGAATCCTAGATGTGGAAGAATGGAAACCAGAAACCAAAAATATCTGAAAATACAGGATCAATATATGTATGAAATCTTGCTCCAGTTCACATCAAAGTCAGCAAAGATTTTTCTACTGATTTTTGTGGGAGTTAGTTTGATGTCTAAACAAATAGATGGCTTTGAATGTGAGTAAATTTATCAGTGTGCGAGCAGATCACAATCAGTCTGAACATCCAGATAGTCTACATTATGTTCCAAAGACTCATTTGTGCATTTTATTTGCAAATCTGAAGTAAATTCCAAGTGCTGTTTTTATCTTGGTTAGCAATAAAGACTTTCAGTCAGCATTCAGCATCCTTTGTTTATGTAAGACTGTCCTGAAATACCAAAACCACACCATTTTTGTTTTCTGATTTCAGAGAAAACACATTAAACAAAAAGCTGCTTTTTGCCTGTGTTTTATGCCCAGTAACTATAATGTGGCAGGATACAAGGTGAGGAAAAGTCTGAAAACATGTTTCAGAAAGGCAAAACTCAATGCTAACATCCCATTTTGCCATCTTTCCTAGACAAATAACAATGCCCTTGAGATATAAAATTAATGACTCGAAAACACATGCTAGCGTACAACCTCTGCATTTCTTTTAGAGGGCCATTGGTGCAGTATTTATTAAAATCTAAAGTAAAAATTAAAAAGCTCTCTAGAGAGTAAACTCCCCCACACCCCTCACAAAACCAGAACAACACAACGGTGTTGCCAAGAGCAAAGGTTCAAATGAAAAACAGATTCACTAATCTATTCAGTTTAGGTCAAATGTCTGCCTTAACTGTGTAACAGCTTATGAAGGCTTTTTTTTTTTTTTTCCACAGTGAGGAGGTTAACTGTAAAACTATTACAAGAGTCATGCTTATGTCCTCAACACAGCTACTAAAATGATGGTTAGGTTCTGAAAAAGAAAAAATTAAAATGCTATAAAAATGGCAAGATCTGACCTGACAAACATATTTTGAACATTAAAACCTCTTCTTCTTAAGACATAGTATTACTGAATTACTCAGGCTTGCTTTTTCTTCCTCTTTTACAGATAAACGTTGCTTAAGGCCTTCAAGTACCACTTCCCCAATGAAGAGCCAGCACACATCTCAGCCCCCTCAATATTCAGCTGTAAGTAAAGATCTTAAACCCTATTCACAAACAGAATTCCCCTTTTCTGTAATATCATTTAAAGTTAAGTGCAGTCTACTCAAAGTCTTAGCCACGTAACATTCGACTGTACAAGGTCACACAAGTTCCTGTGAGCCGTTCCTGTTTCACTTTGCACCAATGTCCTCACCACTTGCCTTCACTTATTGACTGCTGGGGATCTACCAAGTGTTAGAGGCATCCCAGTCAGGAGCAGCACCATCTCTACTAGCCATAGTTTCAAGGATGATGACTAACATCACATCTTTATTTTGTTTTATTAACAGAAACACACATCTGTTCTGGAGGGGCGAAGCGTGCCAAGTGTTAGAGGTATAATAAAAAAATAACTGTTTCTGCAAAAAATAGAAATAGAAATAGAAATTGTTGCTTCCACATTTTAGCTTTTGTACATAAGCAGAGATTACAGGTGATAGAATAGACATGGTTTTCAGAACAGCAGCTGCTTTCCAAAATAATCATACTGCAAATTTGCAATACTGTTTCAACTATCTATCTAACATCAAAGTAATTATTTACAAAAGGAGATACATTTTATCTCATGAGCTCCCTGTTCCTCAAGGGGGGGAAAAGCAAGCCATTCCATTTAAAATCAGGTTTTCCTTTTCCCTACAATTATAAAGACATAAGGGGGGGTGGGGGGAGGAGCCTGTGTCTCCTGAAGTGTTCCACCAAAAGCTGCAAGATCCCTGCTATGCTTTTTACTTCTCAGGACCTCATGCTTTTTGGCTCCCTATCCTTCTCACGCATTTTGTATTAATATATTGTAAAGCATAATCTAATAACTATTTTTAAATAGTAATATCAACTTTAGCAATTCCTATTAAGGATTTACATCCTAGGGTAACTATTTACAAAAGCTATCTGACAATGTTCTCCTACTAAGAATATGCTAATTATGTAGTATATCACCTAGCATATATTTTTTTTCCACTGCTTTACCTTCAACTGCAAATTTGCTTCAAAATCCTATAATTTTGAGTCATAAATGTACCTTTAATTTTTCTTTGTTCTGTTTTGTTTCTTGTGGTGAAATCAGAGACAGATTGCTATCTTATTCTTCAAGAATCTAATGAGGTGTCCAACTATTAAATACTTTAATTGATGGTTTTACTCACTCATAAGATTATTTTTAAAGTAGGTTTCTATATACTTTTTTTTATATTTGATATACTTTAGATGTAGCAATATCTCATGAAGTCAACTACTGAGGGATTAAATATCTGATTAACCTTGAAAAGGAATGTTTTTTTCCTTATCATTTTCAAATCTTTGAACCATATGCTAAATATGGTCAAAAAGAATGCAATTGCCAAGCCAGGAAAATATGTTCCTTTTTATATTTGCTGTAACAGCTGATTTTCATAGAGTAAGTATTATATTTGACCAGCCAGAAAAATAATGCAAAGAATTCCATGCAAAACAGAATTGTGGGGTTTTTTTTCTCTTAGTTCATACTGTAATACAAAACATAGAGCCAAATAATTCCTACAGATTATGAGAAAGTAGGCACTATAAAGCATGCAAAATGAGAGGTTAGATTGCCTCTTGTGAGCAAATCCTGATGCAGCTTGTAAAAAAGCTGAATTGACAGAAATTCAAGTAAGCCAGCTTCAAAATCTGCAGAAATCGGTAAGCAAGGTCCCACTGACAGTTTGCCAGTTTACACATAGCTTCAAATTCCACCAGGATTTAGTAGGTTGGATTTACATGTTTGTCTGCCTCCATGAGATGTGTGCTGACATCAAGAAAGATGAACCAAAGACAGTGCAGGCAGGTAAATTAAACTCTGCAGTTTGAGAATGCAAATTATACATATTTTTAGTACATCCTGAGCTAATAGTGCTTATAGAGGACTCTATTATTTTTAGATAATAACTACACTGTTATTAAATGTATCTCAACGTTTACTCTCACGCCCAGTGCTATTAAGTGGTTTTGCCACAAGATGGCATGAACAGCACAGAAGAATTTTTGTCAATAGTTCTTTTCGAGAATCGTAAACATTTAAGGTACTATTCTTTTATTCAGACCCATTTGTTATGGTTTACTTGAAGGAGAACTTAAGATATATTGCATCTCTTTTTGCATTACTTAGATGTCCTATGTTCATTTAAATAATCAGTCATATTTTGGTAAATTTGAAAACAACAAAAAATAGATTTACTTTCATTGCTTTTCAAGATTTTTATAAATGTCTGTACAAAAATCAAAACAGACAAAAAATGCATCCCAAACAACTTGATAAGCATATATATAAAGTCTCTGAACAATATTTAAATTTACAATACCTGAATAAATATCACCCTCAAATGTTTCATTCTGAAAGGCAGAGGTAAAACCAAAGTTCACTCTGTTTTATCAAGTATCATGACGATTTTTTATTTCCTTTGTTTTATAATTTAAGCTGAAAAAAAACCCCAACCTTGTTTTTCCCTGCTTTAACTTTAACTGATTCTTAGTTATGTCTCCTATGAAATGAATGTTTGTGAGTGATATTAAAAAGATTTATTGGCTACAGCCCAGGAAGATTCCCAACACTTCTATGATTGCCATAATTATCCAAGTACACCTAGGGTTGTGTTTTATATGGAGAGAAGCACAAATGGTTGAGAATAAGTTGCACCTGAATCCATCCGTGAATCCACCCTAAGAAAGGCTAAATAAACTACAGATCAAACAAAATCCACTCCATTTCCAATAAGCCTCATTCAGACCCCATTGGCCTCATGTGCCGAGCAGCAAACAGAATAAATACGCACTTCAGTGACTTCTGTCTCAAGTCTATGCTGTGACTTGCCCCATTCCCACACATAACAATCTTCCGCTGAACCTCCAAAGCTTCCAGCTTCTCCTAGGTTCACCAAAATTAATGCTCTCCATTCAGTAGCAGGAAAAGTTATGGAGATACAGATGTGATAGGTAGGATGAATGCTGTGGGGACAGCAACGTGACTTTGAAGCAAAGAATTCTGGAGGTAGAGCCGGAGCTGAGGGGAGGATGGGCCTGGATGCTCAATAATAATAACAACAATGCCAGAATAAAGCTATACCTTTATTTGTGAATTATATGGGTAGCTCTCTATTAACGATTATTAATAATTATTTTTAGGAGAAAGAATGAAAATAGATGGACCCCAGGTAAGCAGAATCTCTCATCAATTAAAATTTTTACTGGTCATTTTGCCACTTAAAATATTTTTAAAAGCAGGCTGCAATTTTGCTAGCACTAACTAAAGGATAATAGAATTCATATCTGCAGTCCTACATTATCTCACTTACTTGCATTCATGGTTTATGTAGACGTCTTTTATCCCTCAGTGATTTTAAAACGGCATGTTAAAGTATGATGTTATGTGCTGTAGAGTACATAAACCCTTTGACTGTTGACACAGGCATGGCTGCTTAATCTAAACTCTTTACGTTTCTCTTAGTAAAACAAGGTAAAAAGCTTACACAGATTTTTGTTTCCTCTCTTTTCCAGCACCCTGTGCCTCCCCCACGGTAAGATCACTTAAGAGATCGCTTACTTACCTGCGGTCCTCAGGGAACTCAATGCTAATGAAAGCTCACGTCCATCTGTACCGCTCGTAGTAATGAGATGACTGGAAGTGAGCCGGTATCCTTTTACTATCTGGGTCTGTTTGGACTTATTTTATGTTCTGATATGAAATTAGGGAGAACAAAACATGAGTCACAAGTGTTCATAGCAGGAGCTCAGGCCTGCATCTTCAAAATCAACTTGGCTGAGCATGGAACCCAGTCAAAAGCCTAGAAATCTTGAATCTGCTTCAACTCAGATATAAATTGTTGGGAAAAAAAATCTTCCATCAATTTGTACTGGTGCCTTAGGCTCTGTTCACCATAATAATATTGACTTCATTGCCTCTTAAATCCTTCTGCCAATTTTTTTTGCTACAAATCTAAATCATGTCTGTAGAAATCAATCTGAATATTGCCATTTACTCCCACAGAAGATGGACCAAGCTCTATTCCACAAATATATCTTTCTATATGCCCACAAACAAAAAATTAATCGCTTCTTGATCTTTTCAACCCCAAACAAAAACTGCTACAATTAAGACATCCTTCCAAAAGGTCATCCAGGAGTGACAAGCTTATTCCTCCGTGCCTACACTGACTGCCATAAAAGCTATAAAGAAGTTTAAAATATGATTAGCATTACAGACAGATTCACATTATTCCTTAAGTTAAAATATGAAATAAGAGCATAAAAGGACAGTGTAGCTTCACAAATCCAAAACTGTAAAAGTGCAGAAATAAGAGCATTCCATTATTCTACAGAATTTCACTATTTGTTTCCGCTTGTATTAGGGTAGCGAGAATGGTTCTTAATTCTCTCAGCTGACTTAATTTTGGTCTGTGCCATGCAAACACCCCAGGCTCACTCCCCAGGAGCCCACCGCTGAAGGGCAGGTCTGCAGCGCAGCGGGGATGCACCTCCAGTTTTACTGACCCAAGCTCTCCGTGCCACAGCTTCCAGCTGGAGCTGGGCTGTGACCGGCTGGTCTCAGAGCATGGGCAGAGCGTGCCCCCATCTGCCAGGAAACACTGGGCACGTGTTAGCTGTGAGTTTTCTGGGATGAAGAGCACTTTTTTCTTTGTGGGCCTGAACTGCAGTGTGTTCCCTGGCTGGGCCTTATACACAGCCATATCCACCCAGAAATATCAACACTGGAGAGCTGTACTTGGCACATACTGGTGAAGCGCACGGAAGCGGTGTTAAGTGGCACGTAACACAGTGCAGTAATGTCTTGCAAATGTAGAATATTATCCAAAATTACTGTTGCTATTGAAGGGCCCCAAGAAGCTTCTGGACCTGAGCTAAGCTCAGCACAAATACATTGAAATGCTCTCGGAAAATTCCTGTGTTTTACTTCTTGAGCTTGCACTTACAACACAGTCCCTGCACCTCCTTTATTCCCTAATAATTCTTCAAATTCTCCTTTGACTTCTCTAGGCCTCTGAAGACGCTGCCAAAGCAGTATCAACCACTTCCTCCAGCGCCGCAGATAAGCAGCCAGTTCTTTCATACAAGGAAAACGCTCAGCCAAGCTCACACCTTTCCAATATCAGCAAAAGTCACAAGGTACGGGTGCATTCCTCATCCTCATTCCCTGAGAACCAAAACACTCTCCCCAGTCAAACCACAAGACTTTACCTCCATTGCACTGCTGCTTTTACTTAAGAAAAAAAAAAGTTATTCTTTAGACAGCTGTGAATAATTGGGAGAAGTGGTATTTAGCACAATGTGAGACTAGAATGTTTTAAAGAAAAAACTGCCAAAATAATGGTAAAGAAGAAAAGGAGTAGAAAAGTAGGCAGAACTTTCATGAACACTTTAAGGTTTGTCCTACTTTTTCTTACTAACATTTAGAGGTTTTGCAGCCAGTTCTAAGTAGAAACAATTGCACTTGCTTAGTACAGTTGGTGAACCAAGTGATGGGGAAATACACTGACCACACCAGAGATACAAAAATACACTCCACAACGCAAGGATGTTACATTCAGCAAAAGGAATGACTAATCTGTAGCCAGAAGTCTTGTCCAGCCCATGAGACCAATGAATCCAGACTACAAATCGCTTCTTGTCCATTCCATCTTGCCCTCCTCCATCATACGACACCCATGTTCATTCAGCATCCTGACACGGCAGCGTGGATGAGCGCTCAGTCCTGAAGCACAAACCGCTTATGTCCGGCTGTATGGCCAAGCATGTGCATATGTCAGGTTATGAGGCTGGTTGCTTTTTTCAGCCAACACACATATCTAGTCAGATGAACATGTACGTATGCTGCTTACTGCCATGTAACCAGATGCATATGTGCTCTTGCTGTATGACCAAAATGCACATTCATAAATGGGGATGGTGGTGGACACACGCTGGGAAGAGGAACGACACACATCCAGGGGCCACAGGGTATAATGCTCAAATGCCTCTCAATGAAAACCTATTGCAGCCAGAAGTTTGGGCACAACTGAGCTGGGTCAATCCTGTCCATCCTTCCTTAAATGGTTTTAGTTTCAGTTCATCAAGATGGAATTTTGCATCATTTTACAAAGGTCACTGCAAATCCCGTGGGGGAAAAAGAAAGCTTGCAAATCAATGATATAATCTTCTGCTTAGAGTTAAGTATATACTTAAGGAGTGAGCTCTATGTATGGGTTGGGTTTTTTTTCCTGAATGGTGCTTAAATTCCTTCATGGATTAGGTTCCAAAAGCTGTTGGTTGTTAAGATATTTTATTAATATGAAGGAGCTTCATATTCAGATGCGTGACCTGACCTACAGCTGCTAAGTTCCAAATCCCATGATTGATCCTCTCCCTCGGTAGGGCAGCACATACACTGAAAGCTGCATGAGAACTGTTATAAGCCATGTTTGCCAGCAGACATCAGTATGCAGAGCACTTGGATTTGATAGGTCCTATTAACAAAGCCAAATTCTGTAATATAAATACATGTCATTTCTCATGCTAGAAGTAAAAGGCAGCAGCAAAAATCATAACCACCAAACTCTGCTTCTCATTGCAGTTATAGATACCAAAATATTTCTAATAGTTTCGGGGGGGGGGGGGGTTTGTACTAGGTTTTTTAATCACATGAGTAAGAGAGGAGTGGCACAGACTAAGACCACACATGATCTGGGGAAGGCACTTTATGAATTTCCCACACAAGCACTTCACACAAAATATTTCTCACCCATTTTCAGTCCAGTCACACCTTTGTAAGAAGAAAACATCCATATGAGCTGCAGTGTGAAGGAGTACGGCACTACAGCCATTATCTGCCAGACTCTAAGCAAAGCTGTCAAACCGCAGATGTGATTTAAGAGGGCAAGTCCTGTTTTCTAACATGATTTGGAAGATTTATAAAATTAAACACATCATTATTTATACACTCTATAAATAGCCTCATAAAAAAAAATAGGCATATGAAGGATCTTGGAATGTATCTTAGAAGCTTTGGTGTGATTTAAACTTTTACATGCCTGTGGTAAGCAGGCCATGCAAGTGGCATGTCCCCTCGTGATGGAGGCCAGCCCTGCAAGCATGCTTTTATTACTGCTTAACTTTACCATGCACCCAATGTCCTGAATATAGGCTTTCATGCGTCAGATAACAACCTTGGAGACCAAGCTAACAAATTGCAGAAGCTGAAACAAAAGCAACTATCCAAACCCCAAACAGTTCCTCTCCTTTCTCCTAGCCTTCCTGAAACTTTCCCCTAACAGATCATTCCCAAATTTCTTGCCTCTTTAACCCTCCATGCTGATGTTTTCAGCACAGGCACAAGGAAAAAAACCCTTCTTGCTGACCAAGTGTTGAAAGGCAGCTCCCAGGGTTTTCTATACCATCTTCCTTTTGCATTCTTTCTACTGATTTAGCAAAATAACTCAGTCATATTTTCTCAGTCCAGGAGGTAAGCTAAGCAGGGACTAAATCCTGCAGCCTTCAAAAAACTACTAGATGCTTATCCACACCTTATGTTGCTACATAACTTCTAAAATCTGGTCCTCTATCTTGTTTATTATGAGATAGATGCTGCTAAAAACCATGAGTGTTCATCATACTCAGGACATCTAACAAAAGATGTCAGACTCAATATATTGTCCCTTTTTGCGGGGAGAATATTTTCTGACAAAACTCAGGAAAGGAAGATACTCCTGTTGATCAGGCGTTCAGGAGAAGGCAGAAAAATACCTAAACACCTACTTGAATCAGGACTGTGAGGAGCATTCTCCATTTCTCTTTTCTGGTTTGCATCTCCTTTCCTCTACACCTTCCATTCCACTTCTGTGAATGTTTCATTCTTGAAACTCTTCAGTCTTCAGGGAACTTACCTTCATTTATAGCTGACTTTAAAGTTCATAATAAGACTTTCTGGCATGAGATGAAAAGCATTGAAGAAAGCTGATAATCATTCACATCTCTTCTCCCCTCCTCCCAGAATAAATCCTTAGCAAAGACTTTCTCGTTCACCATAATGAATTCAGTGGATGCTATTCTTCTTTATGGAAGTCCGTAACCTTCTCCTGGAAATAATTTATGTAAAAAAATAACCAGCCTCTGAATTTCTATAGCAGTAATAAAATCCTTTCCTTGCCAAGGGCTGTTAATTTTCGGTAATGATGTAATCAAAGTATTTAAGTACTCAAAGTGATTTGTATTTTATGATAATGAAATGTTTTGCATATAATTCTTTCTTTTCCAGACATATATCTGTTAAGGAACTAAACAAAGTAAGTAATCATCTTTGTATATATTAGGACCATAAAAACCGTACACATTCCATGGCTACACAGCCTCTCTTGTAACAGTATTTTAGCCTACTAGGTAAAAAAACTATAAGAATCATATTAGCTTTGGGTCATAAATGTATCTGTCTTTAATGTGTGTAGCATTTTCAATACCACTACTTTCTGAATGGCAGGTAAGTTCCTGGAGTTGCTTGCAGAAATAAAAACATACATACATTGCAAAGCTACCTTCCCAAGTATCCACATAAAAGCATATCTCATAACTGCCAGATGCTGCGGATGCCTATGAACGGTGAGCAGCAGGAGAGACACTCTCTTTCAGAGAAATAGAGACTCCACACAGATTTTTAAAAGCAGAAAACTGAAATTATAAGGCCAATAGTGGAGTGCAATAGTATTACTGTGATGTAACTACAAGGCTACCCCCAAAATAAGATGACCCTTTGCAATAAGAGAAACAAAAATTGACAAATTTTATATCCAGAATGAACCTCACGTATTATCCCCCAGCTCCCTTCTCCCTCTCCTCCCTCCGCTCCTTCCCCAGGGCCTCTCACAAGCCCTGCAAAATCTGTCACCTCAGACAAATGGCAGCTTTGCCTGCAAAATAGCTCTGGCAGCAACCGAGGGGGCCACCACACCGCTGCTCAGGCGCCTGCGTGCTCCTACGGCTTCGCCCAGCCAAACCCCTCGCCGCCCCCCCCAGCACGGTGGGGACCCCAGCCAGAGCGATGCCCACTCCTCGCTGCCCAAGCTCACCCTCCGCAATGGCCTCGAACCTCCTGAGCCATGGGCAGCCCCGTAAGCCCCAGTACGTCCCCCAGTTCATCTCCCACTAGCCCCATCCTCCAGCTCACAACCTACCTTCCTCCCAGCCCATCTGCCAAGCTCCACCAAGGGCAGCTCTAGGCTCCAGGCACCGCTGAGACGTGTGCGCTCTCAATCCCGGCAATGCTGAAGCGGTGGCTCTGAGTTCCCCAGTCTGACAGAGGCTAAAAGGGCTCTTCCCTCCCTCCCCGTACCCCCGAGCTGACCACTTCTCCTCCCAGCGCGGCCACCTGCAGCCCTGCCGCCAGCGACCCCTGCACCAGCCGCTGGGTCCAGAGGGCAGAAGCTGAGAGGGGCGATGCTGGGAATGCACCTATAGCCATATATAAAGCAGAAAGCACTAACTTTTACAGAGAGACTGGTAAAGGCAAGTGATTTTTTTTTTTTTTTTTCCAGATCCTAGTTTCTGTAAAAAAGTTTTTAACAAGTTCCTTCACTTTCTACTTGGGCCAGTGAAGTAAAGCAGAGGAAATGGGTTTAGCAATAAAGGGGTTTAGTTATGACAAGTGGTTGCCTAGAAGATGTAAAGAGATACAGTCTCTACAACAATGAAGAGTGTTTAAGGACGTTTGTAAAATTCAGAGATAGGTCATAATTTATGGCATTTTGTGTTTCTTACTGAATGTTCTGTTTACTGCACTAATACGTTTCTATTGTATTGGGGTTTTATCTCATTGCAAGGGAACAGAGGAAAGAAAGGAATCTCTATACTGGTTAAGCCCAGCTGTATCCTACCACAGTGGGCTGTAGCAGAAATCTATAGACTGGTCTAGCTCTTTCAAATCCTTTGAGCTTTTCTTCTCCACAGTTCTGACTGGGAGGCTGTCCCAAACCTCACTCCTCCTGTGGTTAGAAACTGTATAGTTTGAAAGATCATTAGAAAACATGGTTTGATTGCAATATTGTAATTAACATTTAATGCTAAAAAAATTATATATTGGCAAGAAAGATAATATTTTAACACAAAAAGCTTTGTCTTCTCCTAGATACTGACTCATTACAAACCAAATATGAAAACACTCCCAAGAACAATAAATATCTTACATCTGTAATTAATATTTCTGGCTGGGCGCCGTACAGCTGCACAAATACTGCAGCTCCTAACAGGCTCTTAGTTTGGCTACACCTTAAGGAGAAATATCATATATTTCATAATACAGAAAAGATAAAATTTAATTTGGATCACTTCCCATTCATATAGATCTGAAGACATAAATAGTTTCAGCGTGACCTGGAAGAGGAGACAGAGTGTGCCCCTGCCAGGGTTTTGGACACCAAGCAGTAGGTCAACAGGTTTGAGAGCAGGACTGCCCTTCACCAGGACCCAGACAGGCTGTAGGAGAGAGTCAAGAGGAGCCTCCTGAAATCAGAAAGGACAAATGCAAAATCCTGCCCCAGGATGGACTCACGCCCTTGGCAGCAGCTCTGCTCAAAAGGACCTGGGGACCACAGGCTGAACGTAGGCCACTGGTGTGCCCTTGGTGGCCATAAAGGCTAACAGCATATCGAGCTGTATCAACACAAACATAGCCAAGAGATCAAGGGACGATTCCCTTTTACTCATCACTCATTAGACAACACCTGGAGTACTGCACAAGGCTGCAGTTGACAGAGAGGAGTGGGTCAGCAGAGGGTCACCAGTACAGACAGGGCGTGCAGTACCTGCCCTATGAAATGAGGCTGATGGGGCTGGGGTCCCTTAGCCTGGAGGGGGGGTGGCTCTGGGGGAACCCAATAGCAGCCTGCCAGTGCCTTAGAGATGATTATCAAGGAGGCAGAGCATGGCACTTGACAGAGTGCACAGTGAAAGTACAAGGGGCAACGATCTTGAAATAGGAACGTTTCAACCAGAAATAAGGAAGATAAATTAATTACGAGGGTATTTATGAGGGTGTTGGAACAGGTTGCCCAGAGAGGCTGTGAAATCTATGTTCTGGAGGTTTGCAGGACCCAGCTGGTCAAAGCTCTGAGCCCAGGTCTCATCTCACAGTTCACTGTGCTTTAAGCAGGAACTTGGACTACAGACCTGCCTAGGTCCCTTCCGACCTGAATGAGACTATGAATTTCTAAGTAATGGATAAACATTATTGAGGAAGTAACTTTTAAGGAAGACTCAAAGTGCAACATTTACAAAGAGTAAAACATTCTTCTCTTTGATTTTTATGTATTATAGTCTTGTGTGTATCAAATTAACAAACAAAATAATTACTATTCCCATGTGAATCAAAATAATACAGAAATACAGTGAAAGTTTATGAGTCAAACTCTGGTCTTTAGACACCTGTCTAGTTCTTTGTAATGTAATACGCTGAACTAAGACTCTCTACACAGTGATATTGAATGAAGTATCTGCCGCAACAGTAAAAATAGTTGTACCGTCAGTTAAGGAGCCTGAAAATGACTGATTTTAATCTTTGGATAGTGTATCTCCAGTCTATCAAAATCAATCTTTTGATTTAATACAAGATCGATGAAGGAAAACCATGTTGTAAGTTAAACTGATGCACAATAGTCATCACGAAATGGTGATCACGTATGATCACTGTATGTTCACCTATACCCCTAAAAATTCAGTTCACATTGATGCCAGTGGACTGAATCAGCATTCAGCCTGAGTTTTTGACAAAGTGATCAGGTATTAATGGTTGAATGCCTATGAATTGTTTCAAAATTAAAAGATTGTTGGGTCTGTTGGGGTATGTTTAAGTTGGTAATTGAAAAATATTTACTGTCTATGTTATCATTTTATATAGGCACCTGGAAGAGAACAAGGTTAGTATTTAATAATATGATATTAATTTGTTGTCTTTACTTCATATTGCAAGAACAAAATATTCTATCATTAAAATTCCAGCTGAAGTAATCAGTATAGGAAGCTGACTTTTATCCTGCCAAGTAGCATCAGGCCATCTGGCTCTATATTTAAATGAGTAAAAGACATCCCCCAGGCATATGTCTGCTGAGAACAGAGATTTAGAGCGACCTCAACAGTTGTTGAAGATGTAGCAGAAAAAAGGAATTTAACTTGGCATTAACTACAGCTGTTTGGGGAACCAGGGTATCACATTTGTTCTAAGCAAATCAAAGTCTTAAGGTTCTGGGGAAAAGAGTGCTGGAACCTAAAAAACTGAGGGAAGGATAACCCCAGAAGAAAAGACTAGATTAATCTGATTGCACAGAGAACATCACCCTTCTTCCCATCTTGCTCCTCTCCCATGATTCAAGGGTGAGACTTTTGAAAGAACCTTTTTTTAAAAGAATTAGGTATTTAAAACTAAAAACCCCAGGATTTAAAAAAAAAAGTTTTAAAACCATGTCAATTCTTTAGATGTATATACAGCTTTGAAAAACCAGCTTAAGCCACTCGCTGTGTACGTGCACATGAAGGTCCATGAAAAAAATGTTACTCTGAAATATTCTGAAGATAGATACAGGCTACACGATGTTTACGCTGTTTACACCTTTGTGTTCATGAATTCATAATTTCCTCTGGCATTTCCTTTTGTGGATTAAGGCACAGTTTCCTGATTTTCAGCTAGAAATAGTATTGACTGCATTAATACATTCAATGCGTATTTATCCTGTCCTATAAGAAAGATTTATGAACCCTCCATATACTCCTAGCACAGCATTCAACATTATTTACCATTATGTTAAGCGATTTATGAACCTTCCATATACTCCTAGTACAGCATTCTACATTACTTACCGTTATGTTAAGCCATATTTCGCATCAGCAAAACCTGTAACATTCACCATGTAACATTCAGTACTAGTATAAATGTTCCCCACTGAACTCATTTAAGCCAGACTGATTGCAGCCTATTAGGTATTTCTATTGAACTGCCTCCCCCTTACATACAAATTTAGTTAAGTTAATTTATTTCACAATAGTTGCTAGATACTGTCGAAGTTACACATAAAAGGAAATAGTAAGCTCTTATTCTTTTTATTACTAGTTACAGATTTGGGGGAGAAACCTGAAGCATCTTTTCAAGCACAACAGTATAAACCAAAGCATCATCCTGAAGCCAGGTAGGAATATAAGAACTTAATGAGTTTGTACTGGATGCTTCAAGGACTAAACATTCTGTCCTAGAAAATGATACTTCACTATGCAATAAAAGCAAGACGATATCACTTTCTGATGCCAGGTAGTGATATATTATGTTTTGCCCTGATGCATGACAAGAACCATCTTTGAGAATTGCTTTCAAGGTATTGTAATTGCACATTCAATTTTTATCTTTAATAGCATATTACTATATTACATTTTTGCCTCACTTTCCATGACAGGGTGTTAAATATACTGTATAAAGCAGCTCTGCAATCTCCAGCCTCAGCATTTCCTCTCCCCCTTATTTTCTATTTTTATATACAAAGAATACATACTTGGCCTTTCAAAGGCCAATTATTCTTCTATAGAAATATGCCACAGTTGCTCCTATTTTTCTTTTCTAACCTACACAAATCTTTCTTTTCTAAATGTGCTCTTAAATCTACATCCTCCTAAAGTACTCAACAAAACCCAAAAGTATGGGATAAAGTATAGGAAGTATAAGAATGATTCAACATGTTTCCTAGACAAATACTGAATCTCTCATCTAGCCTTGTTTACAATGATGCCAGTTCTCCAGGATAAAATTATTGTCTGGAGTAAATGTGACAGTATTTGTGACCCCTAGTATTTTGCTGCTTCTTGTGTGGTACCAGTGGCTCTGTTATGTGAAGTTATTTGGTCGGTGCTTTTCCCAGTGTAACCATTCTTATTAATAGCACAACAAAATACCAGCTGGGTACTCAGCAGTGGTCTAGAAAATCAGGGCAGGGAACAATTGCTCCCTGGGTCTTGCAATAGAAGGACTGGGAACATCAGGTAAAATTAGCAGGGAACAGGCTCAAAACGAACAAAAGCAAATTGTGCTTCACTACACATGGAGTCAAAATGTGAAACTCTTGCCAAATAGTCTTGAGGAG